CCTCCGCACTGCACAGGGCTGCGGGACCCCCAGGCCGCCAGGCTCCGCCTCCATGCCATGCACGCAGCATCAAGTCCCCGCCCACCCACGCACACCCGCTGCACACGCAGCCTCCTAGTGATGGATTGTGGGATTGTGACGGCGTGAGGGCGTCACGACCACCTAGGCTACTATTAGTATAGATGAGTGGTTTCAGTGAGGGAAGACCACCTGGAAGAGGTGAGTTTTGAGACTGGGCTTTAAAGGTGATGGGCCTAGATTGACAGTCATTCCAGCCCACCCATTTTCTTCCTCATGTTTTCCTAGGAAACCTTCGCCCGAGCGAAGACATGGGTAAAGGAACTACAGCGACAGGCCAGTCCTAGCATTGTTATTGCCCTGGCGGGGAACAAAGCTGACCTGGCCAACAAGCGCATGGTGGAGTATGAAGTAAGATGGCCCACAGAGCTTCTTTCTAGTACACTCCCTCTGTGCTTGGGACCTCTTTTGTTCAAACCTGCCCTCTCTAGAAACCTCACCTGAGGACATTCATCATGTCATTCCCCAGTCCTGCACCGTGTTAAAAACAGCAACACTGTGACCCTAATGATAGCCAGGAGATTTTAGCGGAGTCAGAAGAAAATTCCAGAGCAGCCGGGTGGGTAGGGAACACCAGCTGTGGGAGGACCAGTGTGAAAACAGGAAGGAGGGAGCGATTGAATTTGAGGTAAGGGACTTTTCAAGGGTCAGAACCCAAAAGCCCCCAACCAACTTACTTTTCTCTCCCAAAATTAGGATTCCTGATATCTGTGTGTTGCATAAAGTGGTCTAGACCATGGGTTATCCTTGAGGGAGTTGTCACCAAAATATGGGTCCAGAGCCAGCTGGCTCAGAGGAGTGTTAAGGTGAGGGAACCTAGGACGTTGCCTAGCTCCGGTGCTACATGGGAGTGGAAAGGCCATAGTTGTTTCTAACCTACGTTCTGAGCACCACTGTCTCCCATCCCTTGTAGGAGGCCCAGGCATATGCAGATGACAACAGCTTATTGTTTATGGAGACCTCAGCCAAGACAGCTATGAACGTGAATGATCTCTTCCTGGCAATAGGTAAGGTCAGAGCTGCCTGAGGTCTTCATGTCTTTTTCCCTTACCTCTAGGCAAGATCACTAGCCCAGCTCATAAGGATAAATGGGAGGTCTCCTCTGGTGAAACGCCTTAACTTCCCATGTGACCTCCATCCTTTAGTTGTCTTTGATATAGTTTACGAGTAGTGAACCCCTTCCTCCTCAGCATTCTTTTAATGTCTCACATTTCCCCTTCTTCTTCCCCACCCAATAGTCCTTTTCGGGGGGGGGGGGGGGAGTTAAAATCTACCACACTTTGTTCCCTTCTCTTTTTGTCTCCAGCTAAGAAGTTGCCAAAGAGTGAACCCCAGAATCTGGGGGGTGCAGCAGGCCGAAGCCGAGGTGTGGATCTTCACGAGCAGTCCCAGCAGAACAAGAGCCAGTGTTGTAGCAACTGAGGGGCTAGCTAGCAGCGAACAAGTGTGGAGCTAGCACGAGAGCTAAGAAATAACCTCCATTCCCAACCCTCAGCACACAGCCCCTACGGTAACAGCACACAGCCCTGGCTCCCAAGGGCTGCCTCCTGACAGCTCCGTCATGGCACTTTTTAACGCTCCAGCCAACACCAGGCAGCTGCTGCCACTGACCTCCTGCCCCTACTCTGGGGCTCGGGGGTCAGATCCCCAGGACTTACCTTCCAAAACAGACTTTCTTCACTTTGTATTATAGGTGCAAGACAGTGACCTACTTATCTCTCCTCCTCCTCCTCCCCACTTTTTCAGAAAACATTTTTTTGTCTCCTGCCCCTTCTGCTTTGGTCAGTCCCTGTTCTTAACCCCCCTCCTCCTTTCCCTCGGCTGGAGAAGGTGGAGAACCCAGGAACTGAGGAAGGAGGCTTCCAGTTCAGTCAGGTTAAGGGCCCTGGGGGAGAGTAAGGCTCAGCAGGAGGGAGAAAGGAAATTTCCTTTTTGGGTTATTTGGTTGGAGTTTCTCATATTTGAAGACACTGCAGTATCCATGAGTTGGCCTTGTGGAAGGTGTTTCTAGGTAGAGTGAGAATAGGAAGGCAAGCTCTTGGGCACCAGTTGGAGTCGTGTTGTTAGTTAACTGGGCGGAAGCGGAGGAGGAGGTGGAGGTGCAGTGTCATCTGTGGCTCCGGAACTCTTCCAAGGCCTAGTTTCCCTTCAATCAGTCTCTTAGGTAGCTTCTCCTCCATGGTGGGGGGAACTCTGGACCCCAGAGTCCTCCAAAGGATCTTCACTGGTTGCCTGCATCTTTGGCTCTGCTGTGACCTAAAGGGAGGAGGGACCAGTTTCTGACACCCATCCTCTGATTTATACATGCGCATTTTTTTCTGTCTGGCCTTTGGATGGCCCCAGCCATTATATCCCCCTGCAGTTTGCACTTTAATTGATGGTAGTTCAGTTGGGACACTTGTTTTATGGGGGTTTTGATTGATTTACCTGCCCTCTCACCTTTTAAATTAAATGGAATCCAAGATGTACATGAGGGTTGGGGAGGAACTGTCGAGTGGCAGCTACTCAAGCCCAATCTCCACTGCGATCTTGCTCCAACTCTGATTCTTAACCTATATTCTCGCCAGCCTGTATTCATGGGTATAGGTTCGCCTTTCCTGGGGAAGGAACTGAAGTGACCGGAGAGCGGTCTCAGGATAGCACAGACCGTGGTAGGGGTGAAGAGGAGTCAGGCAAGAGGGAGGAGTTTTCTCTCCCTTCCCAGGGTTCATGTTCAATTTGATCCACCCATTACCATGTCTTTCTACTTCCCTGTAAATAGGTATGATCTTTATTCCCACTGTACAGTCTGTTCTCTCCCCCACCCCCCAAAATCAGGCCCTATTTCTTTTCTCCGTTGTTAGTATCTTCAGTTTAGTCCCTCCATGCTTATGCCCATGCTCATCACCCATGCAACCAGTGGCTTAATCCATGTACCACTAGGGGCTAGCACCACAGAGGCCTACTGTGGCCCCTTAAAATAGAACGCCTGTTCCTGTGGACAGCAAAAGTCTGGCACTGAAGGTCCCTCACAGCTGTCGCACGTCACCAGACGAAGTTGGTCCTTTCTAAATCTCTAGCCTCTCTTCACATCCCTCATCAGGTATTTTAGGATGTCTTCGGGAAGCCATCAAGGCAGGAGAGCATTCTGAACTTTCTGTTCCAACCTAGAGTTTGGGGAAATTGGAAGCAATGCAGGAAAGGCCTCGGGGACCGAGGATTAGAACCTGTCTGCCCTTTTGGCTCACGGACTTCCTTCTGTCCCCGAGCAGCTGAAAAATCCATGAGGCTGAGATTCTAAAGGACCCAGCTTGGGTTCTTCCACGTAGGCTTCAATTCCCTTCCTTTTCCAGGGGCAGCCTTAGTTCCCGTGGCCCTCAAATACATACACATTTTGTCTTCCTTTGCCAGCACCTCACCAGCCCCCAACAGCACCCCGTGCATTCTTAAAAGTGGAAGAACTAGGACGGCTCTCTTAAGTCTTTGAAATGAAGTTCTTTCTCTGTGCAGCGTTCCCCGTGGAGCAGGAGTGAGGATGTTTCATTGCCTTGGGGCTGGGAAACCATTTCTGCAGACTTCTCCCCTCCCCAGCCCCTTTAGGGACAGGATTGGCCTTAACTCCTGGGCCTATCTGCTGCCTTCCTTCTCCTCCCTACCAGCTCTCTGCTTTCCTTTGAGCTCTCTTGGGCTTGGGGATCTTAGTTTTTATTTCCCAGCTCTTCATTTTTTCCTTCTATCAGTTTTTTTTTTTTTTTGGGGGGGGGTCCCTTTATTTCTTTTAAGAAAGCATTTGCCTCCCCCCCCTTTACTCTTCCAACATAACAATCGTGGTAACAGAATGCGACTGCTGATTTACCGATGTATTTAATGTAAGTAAAAAAGGAAAAAAAAGAAAAGTGTACTGGAGTGTTGCTTCTTTTTCTTTTTTACTTTGTCTGACTGATACAAGAAATTTGGAAGAAAGGGCACCTAGTAGTTTTATTGAATCAGAAACACACCCTCCCCTGTGTATTGGTGCCTCCTTATTCCCTCTAATCTGATTTTGAATATTGAGATAACCTAATTTGGAAAATAGCATCTTTATTGCTGCTTTGTTTGTTTGTTTGTTTGTTTGTTTTGGAGGGGTTGGAATATTTTTTAAAAATGTTTTAGTCGAAACCAGTTTGGTTCAGTGAATAGAGCGTTGGCCTGCGGACTGATAGGTCCCAGGTTTGATTCTGGTCAAGGGCATGTACCTTGGTTTCGGGCACATCTCCAAGAGGCAGCTGATCAATCTTTCTCTTTCATTGATGTTTCTAGCTTTCTATCCCTCTCTCTTCCCCTCTGTGAAAACTCAATAAAATATATTTAATAAATAAATAAATGTTTTAATTGATTTTTTAGAGAGAGAGGCAGGGGAAGAGAAACATTGATTGGCTTCCTTCCAAAAAGGCCCCACCCAGGGATAAAACCTGCAGCCTGGGGATGTTCCTGACCAGGATTGGAGCCACCACCTTCTGGTGAACAGAAAACTCAACCAACCAGTCCCGGGCTTTATTGCTGTATAATCTCTCCTACTCCCAGACCACTAGAGAGCTCATCAAGTCTGACCGCAACTATTTTTTTAGGTCCTCTTAACAATATATATATTAGGAGGGGTGTCTATGATCTTTGGGCAGGCAGTTGGTGAGGTTGTGGGGAGAGGTGGAGTTTGTGACTCCTTTGAAGTATTATGCAAAAATGTATGTATTTCTGAAGGGAGAGGGTCCTTTGCCTTATTAGTGTCTCAAAGGGGACTATGACTTAAAAGAAGATTTTTTTAAATCACTGCCCTTGCCAGTTTGGCTCAGCGGTTAAGAGTGTAGGTCCACAGACCAAGTTTGATCCCTGATGTTTCTCTCTTCTTCCTTCCGAAACTCACTCTCTCTCTAAAGATCAATGGAAAACATTTCCTTGGGTGAGGATTTTAAAAAACACTGAACTAGCATTTTATTGTCATGTGGCTTTACCCCAACGGGAAACTTTCTCCTGGATCAGCTTTTATTTCCTGCCGTATGTGAAGCCCTTTAGTCTATCACAGCCTGAATGGAGGTGGGTGGGAGAGAGCGGTACGAAGAAAAATAAGGTATGGATGCAGGAGAAGTTTTCAATTCCAAAGAATCTGAAAGGACTGGTGCCAAACAGACCTGGCATTCCAGTCCTGCCTCTTGCCAACTTACCAGCTGTGGCCTTGAAAGCAACTTAATTAGCTGCTTTCTATAAAACAAAAGTTGAGGTTTAAAGGTCATTTATGTGCAGCATGTGTATGTCACACCAGGAGAGGATACTGTTGTTAAATACTCATCCTTGGGCTGAGCCTGATTTTTTTTTTTTTTTTTGACACATCCATTGGTTGCCTCCCACTCATGCCTCAACCCAGGGGCGAAGATCTGACCTGCAACCCAGGAGCCTGCCACTGACCTGTAATCGAACCCAAGACCCTTAAGTGCACAGGCTATCACTCTAACCACAGAGCCATGCCAGCCAGGGCTGAGCCTAATTTTTTTTAATATATATTTTTTGGTTGAGCATTGACTTATGAACCAGGAGATCACTGTTGCTGGCTCAATCCCCAATAGGGGGTGTGCAGGAGGCAGCTGATCAATGATTTTCTCTCTCCCTCTCCCTTCCTCTCTGAAACCAATTTAAAAAAAAAAATAGTAAGACAGTGTTAGGGTTGTCAAAGGAGGAATGCAGGAGGCTAAAGTGGTAAGGGATTATAAATTTACTAGAGGCCCAATACACAAATTCATGCACCAGTGGGGTCCCTGGGGCTGGCCTGCGGGATTGGGCTGAAACCAGTGCTCTGACGTGAGAAGGCACAGGCCAAGCCAAGGGCCCTACTGGTGCACACTCAGGGCTGGGGAGGGATGTGGGAGGCTGGCCAGTTAGGGAAGGACCATGGGAGGGCTCCAGGGCATGTCTAGCCCATCTCAGTCCCGATCAGCTGGACCCAGCAACAAACTAACCTTCCAGTTGGACTATCTGCCTCCTAGGGGTCAATGCACGTCATAGTGAGTGGTTCAGCAATCTTAGCATATCATTAGCATATTATGCTTTGATTGACTGGATGATCAGACATTAGCATATTAGGCTTTTATTATATAGGATTAGGTCATCTGGATACCAGTGCCAGCACCCAGCAAAGGGGAGTCAGAGATTTTAAAGGACTCCAGACGGGCTTTTTCTGGGAAGGTCCAGAGAGGAAGGATAATGGTCTTAGCAAGTGGAATGTGGTCTAAGCAAAAGGGAATGTCCATTGTGAAGTAGTCTAAAGGTCAGTTCCCAGGGGAGGGGTATCCATTCATTTATTTGATCAGACCTAACAGATCTTGCACCAGGCCTCTCCAATGATTTAACTGTATGCAAATTTAATTGTGTTAAAAATATTATTTCTGAAAACTTTAGAGCCAAAAGCTTTAGAACCTTTTCAGTGCCATTGCCCCTTTCTGTATATATTTTAGTACTCCCCCATGACTCCTCAATTCCTGGTAATATTTCTAGTTCAGTTTAAGAGAGCAGAAAGGAGGAGGGTAGAGGGGACTGATCTTCTAAAATTAAAGATGAAGTCCTTAATTTAAAGTGAGTATGGTTGTAGCTTGGCCTTCTGTTCCCTAGGGGGCAGTGTAGATACTTTTGCCCCACATTCTCAGCCGGTCAATGACAAAACAAGTTTTTACTCCTGCACCAAATGATATAGCAAATGATTTGTATTTAGTGTCCTTTGCTCTAAGATTATGAACGATTATAATCTTCCTAATTTTGGGTGTTGTATATGTCGTTGCTCTTGTTAAATGACGATTTTTAAAAACTGGCTTAACCAAAATAAAAAAATGTGGCTATTCTGTGTTGATGGTTCCCTAATTTGGGGAGAAATTCGACCAGTCCAAGGAATCTCAAAGTCTTTGAATCACTATTTAGGCTTCGTCTCTGCTCATGCTTGTATATAAGAGGATCGCTTGACTTTGTTTTCTCTAAAAGGCAAACGGGTGTAGTCGCTGCAACATTCGTAGATTATCAAAACCAGGGTAGAGGCGAGCCTCACCGCTGAGAGAAAGCGGGCTGGATCCCGAGGCCTCCTCCAGAGAACGCACCTTTATTCTCAGCTGCAGGGGCGGGCGGGGCGGGGGATCGCCGACTTCCACCTTTCAACCCAGCTTCTGGCGCCCTCGTCACCTTGCCCTGCCCGGGTTCCGGATGTCAGTGAGGGTCCCATCCCGTGCCCGGCGAGGCTGAAAAACAAGCCGCCCTGGAGGCGCCCCGCCCGCTCCGGCCTCCAGGGGGCGGGCGCAGCAGAAGGCCGTGCCCGGCCGCCAATGGCTGGGCGCCTAGCCCGGGAACGCCAATCGTCCTGTCACTCCGGCCACGTCACAGCAGTCTGCGGCGCTGTGCGGGTCCATCCGCGGACCTCAAACTGGGTAAGGGGTTTGGGGCCGGGAGAGGGAAGAGGGGGGGAAGGGCTGGTGACCTGGGCCACGGTGGGGGCCTTGGCACCCAAGGGTGCTTGCAAAACTGCCAGCACGCACCTCCACTCCCGCTGTCCGGGTGCGCCTGGGGCATGGGGCGTTGCTACCAGACACTCTTGTGCCAGCTCCTGGATGGTGGCGTGGGACCAGATGGGACCAGGGGCACTTTAGGTAGGACATATCCTCCTACCTAAAGTGCCCCTGAGGAGTGGGGGCCACCCCCCGCACAAGGCGGGGCATCTTTTATGTAGCATAAGGCTGCCTCTCCTAAAACCTGGGACATGGAATTGACTGAGTTCCCTGCAGGTCAGCCGGACCTGCACCGCTCCAGTCTGACCCAAGTGGGTGGGATTGAGGGCCGGAGGGAGCGAGGGAGGGAGAGGGAGAGGCCCATGGCCCAGGGGTAAAATGCAGACTGTGCTCCTACTCCTTTCTCCTCACAGTTTCTCTGCCTGCCCCCTCTTCAGCATCTCATCAGCAAGTGGGCCTCTTCTCACTCCTCCCCGCTTGGGCTTGCTGGGCTCAGGGACCTGCTCAGTGCTGTGAAGAAGAGACTGCTGCAGGGCAGAGAACAGAATAATTACCTTCTTCCTTCTCTAGCCCATACCCGGACACACTGGCCACTGACGCGCCTCAATTCGCTGAGCTCACTGGAGCGGCATAGACAAGGTAAGGGGGGAGGGGAGACCAGGGGGGTCCAGTCCCCAGCTGGGTTCAATTTTTTTTAGAGTGGGTGGACAGAGAGGGGACTGAAAGGCCTTCAAAGATAATATTATTACTGTTTACTGATCACAGCAGCTGTGCCTCGGGAGATCTCATTTCCTAGACAAGGAAGCAAGTTCGGAGAGGCTTCCTTCTGTTGCCCAGGGAACCGAGCTGGTTATGGCAGGGTGGCTTTCACAGACCAGTTTGACTCCAGAATCTGGTCCTTCACCACATTAGGCTGCCATTGCCTTTTTAACCTTCTTGTTCCTGTTTAAGTCAGTCTGCCCTTCAGTTGTCTTCTGTTGTAAGAAATAAATTTTGCCCTTTTAGACCCAGAAGTAGGGTGGAGGATGGGGGATGAGGGATTCTAGAAGACTCCTGTTTCTCCCTCTACCCCTATTCCCTTTCATCCTGTCAGCACAGTCTGCGTCTGAAGTGCTCCCAGTTTTCCCTAAGGGCCCATTGGGACCCCTACGCCAGCTGATTTCCTCTGTGTCTTTTTCCCACTCCTTCCCTCAAACAGCCCTCATACCATCCCCTCCCAGGAATTCCTATCTTGATCTCAGACTCTTCCTCCTACAGGTCTGCCACAATGCTGCTGCTGCTGCTGCACAGAGCTGTGGCCCCGGGGCTGAGACAGGCCTGCAGGTAGGCCAGCCCATCCTAAAAGGTCTCCTAGCCCATAGCTTTACCTGGTATCTTTATAATGTCTTCTCTTATCTGCCAGATAAAACAATAAAGATGGTGGCAAGGAAGGAAAGGGTGGGCCAGATCCCACTTGTCTCACCTTTCCCTGGAGAAACCAAGTTCCAACTAAAGGAGCCAGTGGCCAGCCAGGGAGAGGTGGACCCCAGGCCTTCCCCGGTCAGGAATGTGTTACTGAGAAGACTCTCTTTCTCTTCCAGACTCAAGTCTACCCACTCCAGGCTCTGCATTCAGGCCTGCTCTACCAATGACTCATCTCAGCATCAGTGCCCCAGCCTTGCCTTCTCTACAGAGAACTCCAGCACCAGGGGATGGAGAGTCATGGGGACCCTGCTGGGCCTCGGAGCGGTGTTGGCCTATCATGACCATCGTTGCAGGGTAAGTGGGAAAGGAAGACACTGCGCTGTCAGGGATCCTGGGTGTTACCACAGAGCCCACAGGGGACACCTTCATGCACAGGTAGAGATGAAATCTGCTTCCTCCATTCCCAGTGGCCACGACTTTGTGGTTTGGCTTAGAATGAGCTGCAGTGACTGCTTCTTAATATTCTGTTCCCTTTTGCCTCACCCCTGTCCTGCCTGCAGGCTGCTCAGAAGTCACCACACATATACACCAGAGAGGAAGTAAAATCCCACAGCAGCCCCGAAACTAGGATCTGGGTGACCCTGGGCTCTGAGGTCTTTGACGTCACAGACTTTGTGGACCTACACCCCGGGGGGCCGTCAAAGCTGATGCTAGCGGCCGGGGGTCCTCTAGAACCCTTCTGGGCCCTCTACGCTGTTCACAGCCAGTCCCACGTCCGCGAGATCCTGGCTCAGTACAAGATCGGGGAGCTGAGCCCCGAAGACAAGTTGCCACCCACCTTGAAGACCTCTGACCCTTACGCGAATGATCCTGTACGTCACCCAGCTCTGAAGGTCAATAGCCAGCGCCCCTTTAATGCAGAGCCCCCTCCTGAGCTGCTGACAGAAACCTACATCACACCAAACCCTATCTTCTTCACCCGAAACCATCTGCCTGTACCGAACCTGGACCCGGACACCTATCGCCTGCATATAGTGGGACCACCTGGGAGAAAGCCATTGTCCCTGTCCCTGGATGACTTACACCAGTTCCCCAAGCACGAGATCACGGTCACTCTGCAGTGTGCTGGCAACCGGCGCTCCGAGATGAGTCAGCTAAAAGAAGTCAGAGGCCTGGAGTGGAGAACAGGCGCCATTAGCACTGCACGCTGGGCTGGGGCCCGACTGTGTGATGTATTGGCCAAGGCCGGTCACCAGCTCCGTGCAACGGAGGCCCATGTCTGCTTTGAGGGCCTGGACTCGGACCCCACAGGGACTGCC